ACTCAAATTCCAAAAGCAAATTCCAAGAGCGTGTGGGAAGAGAAGAAAGGGCCGAGAGGTTTTGGGGGGAGCTGAGCAGGAGGATGCACACGAGTAGCAGCAACGAGAGTGGGGAAATCCAAGAGTTTCCCTCGGATCCATCCGTATCCCAAAAAAAAAACTGGGAATAAAAAGGAGGGGAAGGAGGGGACGGGAGCCACGAGCAAAGCACGAACGGAGGGGTCACGTCATGGCTTCGAGTTCCCGACAACCGGGGCTGGGAAATGATCATTTCTCAGAGGGGCTTAATAAGAAAAAATATACATTTGGAATTTTACAACGCTTTTTTTTTGGGTTTTTTTTGTGGTTTTTGTGTTTTTTTGCTGTGTTTTTTAAAATTTTTTAATTATTATTTATTATTATTATTATTATTAATTTTTTTTTTGTGGTTTTTTTATTTTTTTTAAGCGTTTGTTTGAGTTTTCGCTTCTCTCTCTCTCTCTCTCTCTCTTTAATAATCTCTGCACTTTCACACCCCCTCGCCCAGTAAAGCTTCAGGCCACGCTTTCCTCACTCACATTCATCATCCTCACACCAGGACTCTGTAAAAATTTCAATCACACTTTGTATTTTTTTTTTTTGTATTTTTATCCTTTTGTCTTTTTTTTTTATCTTTGTTTTTTGTGGGTTTTTTATGATTTTTTTTGTAATTTTTTTGTGATTTTTTTCCCCACCTTTTTTTTTTTTTCTTTTTTTTTTTTTTGTTTTTTTTTCCTTTTTTCTTTTTTTTTTTTTTGTTTTTTTTTCCTTTTTTCTTTTTTTTTTTTTTGTTTTTTTTTCCTTTTTTCTTTTTTTTTTTTTTGTTTTTTTTTCCTTTTTTCTTTTTTTTTTTTTTTTTTTCCTTTTTTTCTTTTTTTTTATCTTTTTTTTTAATCTTTTTTTCATCTTTTTTATCCTTTTTTTTTTTTAAATATTTTTATTTTTTTTTGATAATTTTTTTAACCTCATTTTTCTGAAACTCAATATAAACCTCGCTCCAAAACGTTATGAAAAAATGTACATGTTATTTTTTTTCCATTTTTTTTTTTCTTCTGCTTTTGTTTTTTTGTTTTTTGTTTTTTTTCCATATTTTTATACAAGGCAGGCTTTTCCCGACGCGGCGCCACCAAAAAAAAAAACCAAAAACAAAACAACAAAAAACCCCCCAAAAAAACCCCCAAAAAATAAAAATAAAAATAATAAAACCTCGGAATTCCTGCACCTGGATCGTGCCATTCCCGTGGGAAAACGCCTGCCCAGGTGAGCCCGGCCTGGAGGAGGAGGAGGAGGAGGAGGAGGAGGAGGAGGAAGGCTCGGAGCTGTCAGCTCATCATGTCGTTGCTGTTGACGCCGTAGCTCGAGTTCTTCATGGAGTCGTTGACTTCCCGCCGGAACGCCGAGAGGTTCTGCGTGAACCTGGGGGGGGGGGAGAGAGGTTCCGGAAGGTTCTGAGGGGTTCTGAAGGATTCCATGGGATTCCGGGGGGTTCCAGGGAGATTCCATGGGATTCCAGGGGGTTCCAAGGGGTTCTGGGAGGATTCTGAAGGGTTCTGGAAGGGTTCC